TTAAAAACATTCGCCATCAGCTGCCACCCGTTATGATCTTCCAGCCAGTGTGCACTCTCGACGTATACGTGTGTGTGGAACGTGCATGCCTTTTAATTGATATGACGTCATATAAAGACGCCGAAACTCCGTTTCTCAGGATTTGTTTGCGGCTCGAAGCCGAAGAGTTTAACAGGACCGTTCCTCGAGAAATTTTCCTTGCTAAAAAAAAAGTAATAATATTCTACGAGTTAAAGTCCTTCGATTCGAAATTTTCAACGATTTCGACTGCCCTTATCGATCGTCAAAGAAAATCCCTGACACGAGGGTATCCCTGGTCGTTCGAAAACGATATTCCCCCGAATGCTCGCAATAGATGTGGGCCACTCGCCCGTATGCGTACGTGCTTAACGTCGCATTCAACTCTGAGATAGTCGTAAATCATCCCTCGATCTTGGCCATAGATTTCTTAATATAACTTCGCTTTAATAATTTAAGTTAAAACTTTTAACTGAGAGTATTGAAAGATCCTATGTACAAGCTTCGTAAATATATCTCGTACACGAAGTGTGGCGTTTCGAGCCAACGACGACACTGGTGTTCTGAATTATCAGGTTTTCCTTAAGTTCATCCATCGTCCGAACGTTTAAAATTTTTTACCGCAATAAACTTTCGCCTACGATAAATCCTCGACCGATGCAGCCTCGATCTTAACGCATATTTCCTCGATAGATAAAGGTTGTTTTTTCACGAAGAGAAGTCGTCGCATAACATTGATCATCGAACTTCGACTTCGTAACACTATGTTTTTGCTATGTCTTGTTATGTTTGCGTCTTGTTACAATAACAACGACGTAAAAGTAACAGAATTTATAAAAGCCACTAATAAACACGGTAAACATAGAAAACATAGCGAAACAATCTCGAAGGAGCACAAAGCACGAGCCGGTGATCGGTAGAACGATTTGGAATTTCACACGATTATCGGTGGACTTGGAGGTGAACCCTTAGCAAGTTACGAGGCACGCGTTGTAGGTGAGAGGATGTGGCTGGCAGGAAGTTCATTGTGTACGGTTACACATATAATGTTGCACGTGGAACGATCCTGCGGATTCTACGTAGTTTCGTACCGACGACAGATCGGAATTCGTCAGATCGCGCGCTCGATTCGAATCCTTGCACGATCCTTGTACGAATCCGTGAAATTACGTCGTGGTTAAATCGCGTTCCGTGCAGTATGAGATCGCATGTAGGTTAACGCGTGGGCGGAGATCCATTACAAGCACCGTTTAAGTAATTATTTTTCAATTAAGGAGGAAAAATTGAAAAAGTAGCGTCCAGACGAAATTATGGAATTCCAGCTTCTATCGAGCAAACAGTTAGGCGTGTGAAGTAGCAATTGCGCCAATTTACCTGGCTCGTTGTGTCGTTTTATTATCGAGATACTTACACAAGGAGGTTGTTGTATACTTATGTATTATCGTATCTATACTAGGAAAGATGATATACTAAAGAAGATATACCAAAACCATCAAGTATAAATGTATTTGGATCAGAGCGCTGGTGGACCACGACGAAATCACGACATGTCGCAGTTTAGAAAGCTAACCGTCGCTGTTATGCAACCAGTAAGGTCATTCTAAGCATCATCTCGAGATACGATAAGGCAGCCTCACTGCTACTCGTGTTTGGTAAATATCACGAGCGCCATTCGTACGCGATGCATCATAAACACAGATGTTAATCTACACGAATTTTTATTAAGCTTCTCGTATTTTTTTCACCTAAAACTTCCACGTTCGATCGACGACTCTTATCCCTACCTTATCGTTACCCTTCGAGCGTTGCCCTTCGAACTTTGACTTGGTGAAGACGTGAAAAAAGGGAAAAAGAGAAAAAGAAAGAAGGAAAATCAAGAGCAGAACGAAGGGAAGATAAGGGATCGAGAAGTTGATTTCCCAGCCGTGATTTCTTTTATCTGGCACCGGATAATTGAAATGCAACGTTTCCAGAAACCTTTCTACGTCTGACGAGAGAGATATCGACAAACTCAAGCGGGGTCGCATTCACAGACTCGACCGAACCGATCTCTTTTCACGGCAGGATGAAAGTCTGAGAATTCTATTAAGCCGAGGCGAAACGTTCCAAGTCTCGAAGCGGACGGTTCCCGTGGCCCGTGTGAACAAACTCGTCGTAAGAAGTTGGTAATCAGTGTCTTTGGCAATTGGCGTGAACGAAATTGCCAGCAATTATCAATTAAACTCTCCACGAAAGGATCGGTTTAATCATTTCTCCAGACCGCCTTTTGTTCCGTTTATCTCTCCTCATGCATCCTTTCAATCGCCTCAATGTCGCTCTTTGTACGAGCTACAGAGAAGAAAAAGCGGATAGAAAAAGCACGTTTCCGAGTGATCCTTTCGGACGAGCTGAAAGGATCGTCAAACTCGAGCAACCGTAAAGAATTTATACGCGTGTCTCGCGGGTTAACGAACATATCGATCGATGTTTTAACAAAGGTACTACGCTTAGCAGTAGAGGAAAAGAATAGAAAATATAGAAAATACGATTAGAAGCTTCTGTATCTGTTACAACTGGGCTTTCATCCTCGAGATCGTGCTTATGGACTGCGATGATGCGCCGTCGTGTAGTTAAGTTAATTAATGAATGGTACAGTCGGGATGGAGAGTGGACTTAAATTGATACGTCCTTCGTGCGGAGCCATTTTTGTGCTACGCTTGCCTCGCTCCGAGAACTCTTCTCGCGATTCCAACGAATCGACCAGTTTCCTTATCGTCTTTTTTTTTTGTAATTTTACAGCTTTAGCTATTTCGTAAAAATGTAATATCTATCATTTTTTCCAGCATCGATTGCTATATACATGTGTATATATGGATCAAGGAAATTTCGACGATGTAAAAAAAGGTATATATATATGTACGAAGGAATCGCGAGGTGATGACAAACGAACGATAGGCGAGTCACAAATTGAAACAACGAATGAAAATAATCGGTACCCCTTAAGGAAAAGGCTATCGAGTGGGCTGACGCAGCGATCACGAATAGATTTCTCGTTTCATTTCGCGGATACGAACTTTGCGACTGTATTGACCTCTTCGGCATGGAATCACGCGCCATGAAGAATTTCCCAGCGATTGTGATTGTTTATTGCTTAAACGGTCATGCACGCGTACAGTGCACGCGAACTATGAAAGTCTAGAATGGAAAAAAACGGTATTTGCATTTTACGGACGATTTAGAGACCGGATTACATGTCGGAGCGCTTCTTAAAATTCCATTGGCTACGTCTGATCGACCGGCCACGCGACGATCTTCGTCGCTCTTATCTACTGCCACTTTCATAATAAGAATTTGCCATAATATTACGAGTAATCCCGCGAATGTGATAAAGAAGAGGGAGAAGAGATAATGCCATCTTTTTGATTTACTCGCTGTAAGTTTCGTTTTATCGGGCTTGCTGCTATATTATCCTCGGTGCACACAAGGTAAATAGTACGTAAAAGTATTATGTAAACGCCACGTAAACAACCTTACCACATAATTAGAATGCATTTTCAAGCCGTATATGTACATTTGTACCTCTTACTCTCAACCATCCAACGAAACATCCTTTCTAAACGGGCTGAAAGGTTACCAGGTTTGCGATGCAACGAGTCACGCGTTCGAAATAAACGGCCAACGATTCGTCGAGATTCGAAAGTACCAAAGTATGTGAATTTCCGCTCTTTTTATATCTTTCGAATTCGCCGACGAGTTGAGAAATACTCTCGATAAGATGTCACTACGATTTATGCGTATGAAATCGTCAGACCTTGAGAATTCAACTTTTATGTGTAACAGGAAAATTCTACGCATTGATATTCGTAAATAGTTTTATTCTGACCTGATTTAAATCGAGATCCGGGCATTTCGAGGCACATTCTTCTTGCAGGTTGGCTGGAGCAGCTGGATCTTCGAAGTCTTCTGGCAGAAGCGCCGAGACGCTTCCCGCCATCGCCAACACCTTCAGAAATGCACATAATCCCGTTGCTAACATAATATCAACAACCCCCCGGTGAAACGAACCCTCGATCACCCTCCACGGAATTTTCGTAGCAATTTCCTTAACCGTCGATCGTCATTGTTCTCTGGATCCGGACGACCTCCACGACCTTAGAAAAAGCTTCGAAACACGAATCAAGCCTCCTTCCTCCTCATTCTTCCACATCGATCCTCGAACTTGAGGAATCCCAACGTTCTTTCAACGATTATTGTTCTTCGAGCGAAATCTCAACTTTTCACACTAATAGTCGATCTCTTCCATGAAATGTCACACACCAGCACTCTGATCTTGCAAATCTTCAAATCTTCAAATTACCCTTCACTATCCTTCTTATTATTGTTTGTATCGATAATTGACGAAAAACTTCCAAGGCCCCTAATATTGCACATAAATCGTAGTTCCAATACACCCTTTACTATGTCGATCGTATATTCACTATGTTTAAAGCTACCAACATACATTTGCGTGTTCGGTTTAACAATTGTCACTGAAAATATCCACCGATGCAAATGTCAACGACTAAAAATCCGAACGATTTCCATCGTTTTCTTTTGCCGCTGGTAAAAAATTGGATTATCGTCCAGGCACTTCTCGTGTACGAATTCAAAACAAGAGGCTTTCCGGTGATAAAGTAGGATTCCACGCTGTTTCGAATCACCTGTGACGTTTTGAGTCACGAGGCCCTCACTGTAAGAGCCTGACGTGGTTGTTGTTAATGTCTGGCAAGCATAAGAGCAACTGACTCCGAATGGCCACTAGAGAGTCAACTATCCCCCACCATGGCCACCCTTATCTGTTGCACTCTGCTTGACCAATTCCGTACGGTGGTGGTAGGTATACTCCGAACCGAGCAGAGCGAAGCGTGTACACGTGAGGCCACTGTGGTATGCCTGTCGAGTGTCTGAAGACGAACAGAAGGGAGAAACGATCCGAACCTTCGTTCGAGCAGGTCCGACAGACCAATGGTCAATTGACAGATTGACCTGTTCTTACTATCCTCGTAAACTTTCATTCATATATTCGCACGTGCCGCTTTTTGCCGGCTGTCCACGTTGCCATTCAAGACAGGGAAAAGTGAGCACGACGATGAAAAAGTGGTATGACTTTCTTTTTTATCTTGCTAGCGTTAGCGTACATAATAGAACGATTCTAAATTTTTCGAAAGCAAATAAAATGTTTGTTTAGTACGGTTTTAACAGCAAACGAAACGCTCTCTTCGAGTTGCTTTAGTCCTAGCCACTTAACTCTTTAATTATAAGAAAAGAAAATTTTGTTCGATTTGGATTTTGGCAAAATTAAGTAATCAATTAATTACGAACGAATTTCGTGTACTCAGAGGTAACACATTTATGCGTAATAATGTTTATTATATCTTTTAGAATCATGTCGGGACTAAGGAACAATTAAACGTCACACGTATGCGGCAACATCTTTTAAAGGATTATTCCTTGACGCATAGAAAGTATAAAAGAGAATAGTTTCATTTATCGATCAAAGAGAGAATAGAGCGCTAAACGTGCAAACATCGGATTGAATTCAAACTACACATTAGCCGAAGATCACTTCGTTAAGTCAACCATCCTCTTCTGTCGTGTTAGGTTGAGCCGCGTATTACGGTCGGATGGTACAAAGCAAATTCGAAGCCCAGCTTGGAACAAATACCGACTATATTGACGTTTTCACGAGGAATGGCATCCTTTCTAAAAATCTCTGTACACAAACGCTTCGTTTCCACACCCTTAGAAAAGAACGTCTTTTATCGACGATATAACCGAAGGGGATGGTGATGTTAACTCGAAACTCGTTCCACATTTTCATACAAAAAAAAAAAAAAAAAAAAAAAAAAAAATTTTCCT